TCGCAAACGAGTCCTCGGAGCCAGTGTCGCGCAATCGCCTTGTTTGCCGGGTCTAATTACCGACTCCAATAACATCTGTCTGTATTTAGCAGCCTCGACGTGCTCCTCAGTTCCGAATATTCGCGACTTCCCCACGTCCAGCCTGCCTTTTTCCACCCACAACCCTCCCAAGCCCCCTTACTCAAAGTCCTCCACCCCGCGCCTGTCGCACTGCCATAACCACCACAATCCACAATGGCGGAATTCGTACGCGCCCAGATTTTTGGCACCACTTTCGAGATTACCAGCAGGTGCGGAACACATGCCCCACCTCGTCACCTCTGGCTCTCTGCTAACATCCCACAGATACACCGATCTGCAGCCCGTCGGCATGGGCGCATTCGGTCTCGTTTGGTACGATTTCTCTCCATCTTCACGAATAACTCAGTGTTGACTCTAGCCGCAGCTCAGCAAAAGACCAGCTCACCAACCAGGCGGTAGCTGTGAAGAAGATCATGAAGCCCTTCAGCACTCCAGTTCTGTCCAAGCGGACATATCGAGAACTGAAGCTTTTGAAGCACCTTCGACACGAAAATGTGGGCAATTCTGCTGTAAAGCCTCCAAACAAAACTCTAACCTCACCCAGATCATCAGTTTGAGCGATATCTTCATCTCTCCTCTCGAGGACATGTAAGTAGCCCAATTATGGCCACCCATGAATATACACCAATCAATTCAGCTACTTCGTCACCGAGCTCCTCGGCACCGATCTCCACCGTCTGCTTACCTCGAGGCCGCTTGAGAAGCAATTTATCCAATACTTTCTCTATCAGATTTTGGTACGTAGTAGAAACCAATCCAACGCGTGCAAGAAAACAAGGAAAGAAATTTTGGCTGATTTGAGAAGCGTGGATTGAAATACGTCCACTCCGCTGGTGTGGTGCACCGCGATCTCAAGCCCAGCAACATCCTCGTCAATGAGAACTGCGATCTCAAGATTTGCGACTTCGGTCTCGCCCGTATACAAGACCCCCAAATGACGGGTTACGTCTCGACGCGATACTACCGAGCACCTGAAATCATGCTCACGTGGCAAAAGTACGACGTGGAGGTTGACATTTGGAGCGCGGGTTGCATCTTTGCCGAAATGCTTGAGGGCAAGCCCCTGTTCCCTGGAAAGGACCACGTGAACCAATTCTCCATTATCACGGAGCTTTTGGGCACTCCCCCAGATGATGTTATTCAGACCATCTGCAGTGAAAACGTGAACACGCCCAACTAAAATCGCGAGGAGCCTTGGCTAAAACTCTACAGACACTGCGATTCGTTCAATCGCTTCCCAAGCGCGAGAGGCAACCATTGGCCAACAAGTTCAAGAACGCTGAGCCTGATGGTAAGTGTTGAAAACGTAATATCCAGAGTGCTAGGCTAATTTTCCACAGCGGTTGATCTTCTAGAAAACATGCTGGTTTTTGACCCAAGGAAGCGCGTACGAGCAGAGCAGGCTCTCGCTCACGCATACCTTGCACCATACCACGACCCGACCGATGAGCCGGTAGCCGACGAGAAATTCGATTGGTCGTTCAACGACGCAGACTTGCCAGTCGACACCTGGAAGATCATGATGTAAGTTCACAACTAGGCAAATCGCAGAATACAAGAAGCTGACTTATTCGCAGGTACTCGGAGATCCTCGATTACCACAACGTTGATGCGGCAGTACAGGAGCAGGAGAACGGCAGCTAATCGCCAATGGATGTCCCGAATCCAGCCATAATACTTTCACAGTTCTCAGCACCGAGTCATACAGTTTATCAAAGTTCGATGTATCATCTGCGTGGAGCAGGCGGATTTGGCTTTTCTCAAAGATTCCCAAGGTCTCGTTTGGTGGACCAAAGTGACATGAAAGTGCGGAGGTAGATGGACATGGGTGTTATTTTTTGTCTTTTGAATTATCAATGCTCGTACACGAAAGGAATGTTTCATGACACGACTGGGCGATGGGCCTAACTTAGGTAAGAATATGAGATTATGCTGTTAATTGTCCTATCCAGTCTGGTGGTCTTAGTGATGCATCTGTTCAAGGGTGGCTGACGAGGTGGCGCTCGCCGAGGCTAGGAGCCTAAAGAGGCATAGCTCCGTAAGGCTGGCTGATGGTGGGACGGGTGTTGTTCGTCACCGCTCGCATCGCGTTCCCCAACTATGCATAGGACATGAGCCCGGCCCCTATGGCCTTGGATTCTTCACTTTCGAGAACCTGACCGCCGTGCGACATCTTCACGAGCGCACAACCATGGCGACACTTAATCCGCTTGTATGTGTGGTGGATTTTCATCATGCGCGGTAAGCTCAGATACTATTTCACGGAGTGGGCAAAGGGGGGGGGGGGCTTTTTGGACCATCTGTACCAGAATAACAGATTTGCTGATAAAAAATGCTAGAGGCCCCGAAATCGAACTCTGGCTTGGTGCAGAAGAGGGAACCGACCCAGCAGCCGACAATGACTGGTCCCTCTTGCCGTTCATGGCCCTGAGCGATGGCGCTCATGCCTCCACCGAAGACTACTCCTACTTCACCCTTCGCCGTGCACAAACCCCGACCGAGCCCGCAACCTCTCTTTTCGGTATCTCATGTACGCGACAACTCGACGCTAGCAAGCTCATAGACCGACCGGCCGAGGTTACAAGGAGTACGGTGCAAAAGGCGGTAGTGGTTATAAGCAACAGCCCGCAGCATTTTGGCGCCATCAAGGCACAGTTGAGCGTTGTTACTCAGTTGTGGTTTGCGCAAAGGTATATTGTTCAAAACAAGGAGGGCCGGTCATGCGGCTGACACAAAACTACAGAGACTTTAGAGACATTGAGATATTGGAGCGGTTTACAGAAAGTCTACCCCAGCTGCTTAAGAACCAGGAAGGGCAGCAGGACCACTACTTCGGCATCTCTTTGCGCGAGTTCATACACGAGTTCAAATGGCAGACTCTGGTTCTTTTCAAGTGCGCTTTACTCCAACCAAAGGTACGCTACATTCTGGCAATCGAGAGAGATGGCGCGCACAGCTGGCACACTAGTGTTGACACGACACCCAACAGGTTCTTTTCTTCGGCTCTCATTGCGAGCGATTATGCATGATGCAATTTGCTCTTATTTCTCTGATACCCGGCCTTATTCGCCACCTCCAGGATGCTGCTGACCCAAAATTCAATTCGTGCGAGGAGAAGTGTGTCACGCCAACGTCTCTGAAAACGTCAGAACGTGCTTCTTGTTAGTGTCCAACCCCCGACGACAGCCCATCGTGTTAACGAATCGCAGTGCTTGCATATATGGGTCTCCCCCTGCAGTTGTTTGGTACAGGCTCGCTATTCGGACCGTATACCCCGCTCCAGCAGCTCGATGTTTTGGCAGATCAACATACAAAGTCATACATTGTTGGCTCTACAAACTCATTGTTACTACAGCAAAAAGATCGCTACAGTGACATCCTCATCAATCTCGATGACCATACGGTGAACATCACTTCGGCTTCGCTTCGTCAAGCATCGGTCCTCTCAACACCGGACCGGCGATGGATCGATTTCCTAACCCAGACAGTCCACGATACATGGGATGAGTCGGATCCGGGGCGGCCGAAGGACCATGGATACGCTGGCAGTGAAGAGTTCATCCGCATGCAGTTTGAAGAGTACCTCCTTGCGATGCTAAGCTCAGTCAAATACAAACTATACATGGAGAAGCACGCACATAAAGAGCCCGTAATCACTGATGTCGAGGGCGACCCGGCCAGCGAGTTTTCAAATGACTGGGTACAGGCCTGGATGCAGACGGAGAATTTCCGCATCTGGAACAAATTCACAGACTCACATCTCTTCGACATTGTTGATCCCAAGCATCCCTGCTCTGGTGGTCTCAGCATGGAAGACGTTCAGCGCCGACTAGCACAGTACGTCTCCACTTCTTTTCTTTCGCCTTGCAACCCCAACTAAGTCTTCCTTCTTAGTATTTGGAACAACCCCACATTCCAAGCAGTCTCCGTGGGAGTATGTGTGCTGATTCTCGCTTGGCGATTAGGCAGGTAGCAGAAATGCACCTTGATGAACGACTCGAAAAGAGTAGAGAAATCCTTGGAAAGCAGATCGCTGCAGGGCAACAAAGGTTCTCTTCTGCCTACAACAGACTGTGGGCGGAGATGGAGGCCATGCGTGAAACTCAGAAGCAGAGGGCTGAAGAAGCAAAAATTCAGGCTGAGAAGGAGGGTCGGGCAACTGAGGAAGAAAAGAAATGTAAAGTGTATTGATCAAATTTTGAGGAGTACATTCAGACTGATTGCCTATAGGGAAATCGCCACAAGCTCCGGATCTCTCGAACGCACAAGCGAGAGCCAGTGCCTACTTCTCTAGTTGGGGCACTTGGGCAAGTGAGAAGAGAAAGGGGTGGGGCAATAAGACGCCTGTATCCTCACCCACGCCTGATGATAACAAAAGAGCCGAAGATTTTAAGAAGGCCAAGGACACGTTGATTGGTGTAGACATTCCAGCGACTTCACCTCTGCCAAGAGAGATCAAAAGACGGACTTTGGTATTTGATGCTGAGGACATCAAGGCTGATACCGATTACGACTTGGTTGAGACTGAAAAGAAAACCGTCGATGCTGAGAAGGACAAAGATGATGCTAAGAAGGATACAGATGGTGCTGAAAAAGAAAAGGTTGATGTGGTCAAGGATGAAGATGAGGTGGTCAAGGACAACGTTGATGTCGTTAAGGATAAGGATGATGCGGTCAAGGATAAGGTTGACGCGGTCAAGGACTAAGCTCTGTTTTGATTCTGATACACAGCTTGCTGTTTGGCAATATAACGATTCGAATTCAAGACGAGCAGAGTACCTGGTACCGTTTGATGTAGATATCATATAACTTGACGATGCGCCTTGAAATCTTCACAATGTTCATTACATGGATTTTGTAATCTAGTGTAATCTATGCCATGTCGTCATCTACATTCATCAATCGTATACCTCATTCCATCATGACTCAGCCTTCGACTTCTCTCCCTCAATGAAATCCCTAATCGTCTGCTCCAGCCCCACATCCTCACTAAACCCCAGCTCCTTCGCCCGAGTAGTATCGTACTTGGCCGGCCAACTTAGCACAATCCTCTCCGTCCCCTCATCCCTCTTCTCCTTCACCAATGCCCTCGTCTCCCTCCCCGCAACCTTCTCCAACGCATCCAGAATCTCCCCACTCGTCGCCGTATACCCAGGCAACAACACCTGTCTAAAATGCCCAAACTTCTCTTTGGGCACCTTAACCGCATGCACCAAATTCGCCGCCAAAGTCCGCGGCGACGTAAGCCAAATCCCTATCTTCGGATCCACAGGCAACTCCGCCTCGATGCCCTTGACAGGCTCCCTAACAATCCCCGATACGAACGACGACGCCGCCGCCGTCGGCGCCCCCGCCCGCACAAACACGGTTGGCAACCGCACCGCACGCCCATCAATCAGACCCCTCCGCGAGTAATCGTTGATGAGGAACTCAATCATGAGTTTCTGTGTCCCGTAGCTCGATTCAGGCATAGGCACCACGTCCGTCTCCGTCACCACATGCTCCACCGCCGCGCGTCCAAACACGGCGCACGACGACGTAAACACGACTTTGATCCCTGGGCGCTGCGTGCGGATCGTGTCGAGCAGCGTGCGCACGGATTCGAAGTTTACGCTCAGTCCCAGATCGAGGTTGGCTTCGCTGCCGCTCGACATGATGCCGTGGAGGATGTAGACTGCATCCGGGTTTTGGGCGATGAGCGAGGTGCAGGCATCGCGAGAGGTTAGGTCTGCGGCTGTGCAGGTGATGTTTTGTGAGGAGGGGGACGGGGACGGGGGTGTGTGTAGGTCGGCGAGGAGGAGGTGCGTGGCTGTGTTTGTGGCGAGGAGGTGGTGGGCGAGGATTTGGCCGACGAAGCCGCTGGCGCCTGTGATGAGGATTTTCATCTTTTTTTTCCCTTCTTCTTTTCTTTCGTCCTAGGAGTGTGTATATAGGTATGGGATTGGAAGAGTAGGTGAGAGAATAGATAAGTGAAGAAGTAAAGGGTTTTAAAAAAAAGGTAGGTTTTATGGAGGTGTGTTTTGATAGAACCTGAATATATACTAAACTGCCACAATCCGCTTTAAGAAGGCTTCAACCTGCTCGGTAATGCTGCCGATTCGTACAATGTGGGACCGGCATTTAGCCCGTTGACCTCGTTTGCTTTCCCCGAGATTCGGAAGAGAGCCCCTCCATTAGGATAGAAGAAAAAAAATCGCCTCTCTGTCTCGAGACGAAGATCACCTTCCACGATGCAAGTTGTGATGATTATTCCAAAAAAAAATGGGCAAGGGTCCGCCCTTTCTAGTCGCACAACGTCATTGCCAAAGTATAATTTTCGCAAGAGCTTATTTTCCCTTAGATCTGTGTGTCCCCCCGCACCCCCTGCAACTGACGCTTACAGGTACTCCCGTTACTCTAAAGTCATGGAACTGCGGGGCTAGATTGCAATAGGAAGGTGGACCTTATGACCTAACAATTTTGATCAACGACCCAATGACGAGGCTGCGCGTAAACCTCGGATGATGTCAAATGGTCAATACGAGCGGGCCACTTGGAGACGGCTAAGGAAAAAGCTGGGGCCCCAGACACGTTTTTTTTCCGCCGCCAGGTGGAGAAAGTTAAGGCTAGTACTAGTAGAGCTATTTCGTTATATCCGAGGTATTTAGGGAAAAAAAGGGAAAGTAAGGGTACAAAAAGCGCGGGGAATTTGGGGGTTTCTGAGAATATAGTTGATACCCTTCACACGCATCTTTTTCTTCGCTTATCATGGCAAGAGTGACGGCACTTCTTTTGGGTCTCTCCCAGTTTCCTGTTTGGGCTGCTGCTGGAAGCCCAGCGGTTATTCAGACTTCGTCAGGCAAGGTCAGGGGTTTCACTGATGATATAACGCCGAATGTTGCGCAGTACCTTAGTATCCCATTTGCAGAGCAGCCGGTGGGAGCACGGAGATGGTTGCCCCCGAGTCCGGTGAAGAGGTCGAACAAGGTCATCGAGGCGAATGTGTTGGGTCCTTCTTGTCCTCAGTTCGAGGTCGATAGGCCTAATGTTTGGCTCACCGATGCGCCAGAGTTTATCATCACGCCGCGCCTTTTCCAATCTGAAGAGTGTCTGAATCTCAATATTTGGGCGCCTTTGGCTCAGTGCCAGGATGGGGGTCACAAGAAGGAATTGCTGCCTGTGCTTGTTTGGATCCACGGCGGAGGTTTTGTGACTGGCGGACCTACTGTTCCGTATCAAATTCCTTCAAGATGGGTTGAGAGGACCGGAGAGCACATTGTTGTTGGAATCAAGTAAGTTGAAACAAACAACCCTCCTTGTTTTGGGGAAGTACTCACCATATGAAGCTACCGTCTGAATATTTTTGGTTTCCCCAACTCAAAGAGCCTCAAGGCCAACGAACAGAACCTTGGCTTACTGGACCAACGCCTGGCTTTGGAATGGATCCGAGACAACATCCGCAACTTTGGTGGTGATCCATCTCGCATCACACTTTGGGGACAGTCTGCGGGTGCTTCTTCCGTCGACAACTACAACTTCGCTTACCCCAAAGACCCTATCGTTTCGGGCTTCATCATGAACTCCGGCACGGCTCTGCTCCCTATTGCGAGTGCCGACGTTCAGCAGACAAACTTCACCTTTGTCGCCAAGCAGTTTGGATGCAGCAATTCCAACCCCAAAGCCGAGATTGATTGCTTCCGTCGCGTACCCCATACAGCCATTGAAGGCTTCCTCAAGCAGTACGCCGATAACGGCACATCGCCCAGCCTAAGTTTCACACCGGTATTCGACAACCGCGCATTCTTCTCAGACGTTACTGCTCGCGCTTTGGCTGGCAAGTTTTCACGCAAGCCTGCCATAATCGGTACGACTTCGGACGAGGGTACCGCATTCGGAACGTACAACAAGACATATGGCCCCCCCAAAGCTCAGTCAGACTTTGCAACAGGTCAATACTTCCTATGCCCTGCTGCACAAACAACAGACGACCGATACACAGCAAACACTACCACATTCCGCTATCTCTACGCTGGAAACTTTAGCAATATTGCACCCCAGTTCTGGGAGGGTGCATACCACTCGTCTGATGTTCCAATGTATTTCGGCGCCTACGGTATTGCAAGGGGCAATGGCACAGAGTTCCAGCGCAAGGTCAGCGAGCAGGTGCAGGATTACTATTTGGCATTCGCCAAGGACCCCATTCACGGACTTCCCAAGTTGGGCTGGGAGGCATACAAGCCAAGTGGCGAGGCAGTGTTGATTGCGCATGAGGGAGAGGTGGTACAGAGTATTGAGGCGAGTAAGTTGAAGACGCCTTGTAATGGTACGACGCCCAACGGTAAGCCTTTGCCGCCATAGAGAGGAGGTCTGTGGGTGGAGTACTCTACTTGACAGTAGAAAAAGCAATTCCCCGGGTTAATGTCGCTGCATGGATAGTCCGTGATTACATGTCTTTTTTTTGCCAAGAAATTCGTATCCCTGTATATGCAACACACTCTCCATGTATCCATCCTCTCTTTGTCGCTAATCTCACTTCGCGTATCGCACCGCCAAAAATAAGATCCATGGGTCCACGATCGAAACCTGCCAGGTCTTTCTGCTAGGATTCGATCCACTACCTCTCCCATGTAACAGCAAGTACATGGTACATGGTACATGGTAACATGGGAGGGATGTGGATCCAGAAAATGAAACCCACGGATCCATGACAAAGCCACCTCGCCACAACGTGGTCGACTTGAACGCCGGTCTGAGCGTCCTGATTCCCTGCATACCTCAATGCGGCAGCCCTCGGGGCGTAGATATGGTCTGGACAGAGAGGATAGAGGAAAAGCAATGTTTTTGTTATGCAAATGTCGCTAATGCATGGTAGGGAGTTTAACAAGAAAAGTTAAGCCGCCAGGATGATAGTTCGGGGTAACCGATGCGAGCCTGGGGTATATGTGTTGCTTTTAAGGCCAGCCAGATTAGCGAACAAACGACGCATGGTTGCTTTCCATGAGCAGCGCAGGGTTGATCGTATCATTCGTATCGGCTGGGCGATCGGGAAGGCGCAAGGGGCTCCTGGGGATTGCGAAAAGGATGGCTTTGTGGCGTTGGAGTGGCTTTGTGGTATTTGATCCTTGAGCCTCGAGACGACTGGGATGATGTGATGGGCCTGGGCAGGTGGAGCCGATGTATCTGAAAAAGAAAGACCGCCAGTGTAGCAGTGGAATCCAGGAACTATGCTGACATAAGCGCAAAGGAAGTTGTGAGTGGTTCAGGGCACGTGACGGAGTGTGGCTTTCAGCAGCTGTGGCTTCCACCTGCCACAGCGGGGTTTGCATGGTTGACATCGTCAAGCTGCAGCACAGGCGCGTTTTAGACAATGTGACGTGACGTCAAAGTGGTGAGTTCCAAGAATGGACACAAACAAACAGGCTCAAACACGTGGTGTTGCGTGTAGCTCTGAACTGGCTGCGTACTTTTGCTACCAATTGTACTCTTTCCGACCACTTCCCCATCTCTCTCCCTTTGTCAGACTCCTGTTCCTATTACCTATAACCACAAAGATATTAACTCGATCCCTGCTGGTTCGAGCTTACTTTTGATCACCTCAACAACATCATAGCAAGAGAGAGACGAATTGACAACACATCATGGCGAACCAGGCACCCGCGTCGCTTGTCGAACATCTGACTGCCTCTGGAGGGGCCGAGCCCGCAGGTACGAGATACGCAATGAAGCATTCAATACCCTGGTCCAACTATACAGCTCTCCTGCCCCTCATCAACCCCACGCATGTGACAAAAGCTATTAACGACCAACCCCAGTTCACAAGTTGCTAACACACGTCAACCAGGCTTCCTCAACGACATCATCAAGAACCTATGGCCCAACATCTGTGTAGCTGGTTCCAACATCATTAAAGACACAGTCGAGCCAATCCTTGCCACCACACTTCCTGGCCCGCTAGCCAACCTGCGCTTCGTCAAGATTGATTTCGGCCATATTCCAATTGGTTTCTCGAATGTTGATGTTCATAAGACCTCGGCTGGAGGCATCAAGCTCGACATGGATATGAATTGGGAGGGTGTATGTGACTTTGAGCTTGATGGCAAAATGGTTCCAAAAATAGTATGTCTGGTATGAATCGAAAGCAGGCCAGGAGTATGACTAACATGACACTCAGGGTGTTGAGCGAGTTCATATGAAGGGTCGTATCAGCGTCTTGCTGTGCCCATTGGTAAACGTTATCCCTCTGGTAAGTCATGCAACCAGTCAGCCAGTAACCAAAGCGTATGCTAACTCGAACATAGATTGGGGCCGTCCAGATTGCTTTCCTCAACACACCATCCCTGAAGCTGGACTTCACAGATGCTGCAAACATTGCCGACTTTTCTCTCATCGATGGCACTGTCCGCAAGACCATTCTTGGTGTCATTGATTCGATGGCAGTACTCCCGAACCGCTTCCTAGTCAAGCTGGATCCCAATACCGACTACTTCAAGGCCTTCCAGCCGCACTACGGAGTCGTTCGTGTGACCATCGGCAAGGCGACCGGGATTGACGTACCCAAGAGGGGCGAGAAGAAGAGCGGCCTTAAGAAGCTAATGGCAAAGGTCAAGCTTGAAGACGTGCCGGACTGCTACGTCAAGGTCAAAGTTGGTGCTGAAGGGCAGTGGAAGACTTCGACTGTGGATAATAACCGCGAGCCCGAATGGAACGAGTCCCACGACTTCCTAGTTACGGACTTTGAACAGGACATCACTGTAGACATCCAAGACGAAGACGTGGTTGGTGATGACGACATGGGACTCGGATCTACGACGATCAAGGAGATCCTCCTCAAGGGGGGTACACAAGAACTCGTTCTCACGCAAAAGGGCCAAGAGACACCAGGCAGGCTAGTGATCCACGCCAAGTT